AGTGCCTTGCTCAGGGTCACACAGCAAATAAGAAGCAGAGCTGGGATTAGAATCTGGCTTCTGATCCAAGGCTATGAAGTTACTAAAGGGCACACAGGAGAGTCTGTGATGAGTGAAGAGGAGAGAATTCATTTAAACAGGCTTCCTTGCTTTTTTTTTTCTTTTTCTTTTCTTTTTTTTTTTTTTGTGGGGTGGAGGGAACTGGGGTTTGAACTCAAGACTTTGTGCTCACAAAGCAGGCACTCTAGGATTGGAGGTATGGCTCATGCAGTAGAGCACCTACACAATTACTGGCCTCTACTGTTTGAGCCACACCTCTAGTCCATTTTGCTCTGCTTATTTTGGAGGTGAGTTCTTGCCTGGGCTGGCCTCTAACTCCAATCCTCCCAATTGCTAGCATTACAGGTGTGAGCCGTTGGTGCCCAGCTTCCATGTTTCTTTTTCTTTTCTTTTCTTCTTTTTCTTTTTTTAAAGAAATTATTAAGCATCACTTGCTTCATTCCAGGTACGTGTCTTCTCATCAAACTTTTCCTAATACCTTTGTAAGATGATGATGGTAATTAGAGCCAATATTTATTGACTTCTTAGTATTTATCAATTATGAGCTAAGTATCATTATGACCTCTATTTTATAAATGAGAAAAACAGGTTCACAGAGTGAAGCAGCTGCCTGTAGAGAGCCAGGGTGCTCTGACCCTTTTACAGCTTCCTGCAGACATAGAAAAGATTGGGGTGCCCTAGTGCCACTCCATCCAAGCCTAGCTAAGGCTGGAGGAATTAAGCCTGAAGGCTTCTTAGGAGACCCCCTCAGCAGACACAGTCCACTAGCTCCATCACCATATTTGACAAAGGAGAAAGATGAGGCCCAGAGGAGCCAAGTAACTTGATCCAGGACACACAGCAGTGGCAGAGCCAGGATTTAAAGCACCCCAGTCTCTTGAGGCCCAAACCAATTCACTGGACTGTTTAAGTTCAAATCTTGGCACTGTCCTTTCCTGACTGTGTGACCTTCTGCAAGTAGGTGCCCCTCTCTGAGCCTCAGCCTCCTCTCCCACCAACTGGGGATAATTACTGGACTTATAGTATGGTTTTATCTTTAAGACTCAATAAAATCCATCCCAGCAGTCCCAGAGCTAAGTCTGACCTGCAACCTCCCTGTCCTTGTGTCCAGTCCCAAGTTTGGCCTCTTCCTATGTGGTTTCCATGGACCTGTAGCCTCTGAACATCTCTGATTCCCACTGTGGCGGCTGGCAGGTTGAGAAGATCTGGTTCTCTCAGTCTGTTCTTACACAGAGTGAGAAAGAGGCTGAAAAATGAATACAGCTACCACGCATACAGCCAGCCTGTGCCAGACACAAGATGGTGCTGGAGACTGCAAGGGACCATGTTCAGCAACATCCCTCCTTTCCAGAGTTCACTGAAAAGTGGGAAGACAGGCATGGCTGAATAAGCCTATCACAGCTAGAGCATTTCAGAGAGGGCCTGGTGCCATGTGGGGGGAGGGGTAATGTGGACATCTGTGGTATTTTAGCCAGAGTGGTCAGGGAAGGCTTCTCCAGGGCAGTGACCTTTGAAGGGAACACTTCTGACAACTGTTTTGAGTTTAAAGAGATCATCAACATATAGGCACATTGCTTGGCACAGTACCTGGTATTTAGTAAACCCTTGCTACAGTTACTGATTTGTAGGCCTGCATTGGCAGATTTAACTTTGTTTTTTTTCCCCAAATAGTTTCTATATACATAGGAGCTGTGATCATTCTTTCTTGTTTCTGTTTGGCAGTGCTGGTGCTTGAACTCAGACTTGAGCTTGCTGGGCAGGCACTCTTTACCACTTGAGCCACACCTGCAACCCTTTTTTGCTTTAGCTATTTTTTCAGGTAGGGTCTTGTGTTTTTGCCTGGTGTGGGAGAGGCAACCTCAGTTCACAATCCTCTTATTTATTACAGGTGCATAACTGGCTTGATAAATTTTTGCCCTGGTTGGCCTTTATTTATGTGCTTATTTTCCTGATCACTGCCTCCTGAGTAGCTGGGATCATAGGCATGAACCACTACACCTGACTTGGTTTTTGTTTGTTTTTGCAGTACTGAGGTTTGAACTCAGGGCTTCCACCTTGAACCACTCCAGTAGCCCTTTTTTGTGATGGTTTTTTCAAGATAGAGTCTCTCAAACTATCTGCCTGGCTGGCTTTGAACCATGATCCTCGTGATCTCTGCCTCCTGAGTAACTAGGATTATAGGCATGAGCCACCGGCACCTGGCTTGTTTTTGTTTTTTGAGACAAGCTCTTGATCCTCTGCTTTCACTTCTTGAGTGCTGGGATTACAGGAGGGTACCACCACTACAGGCTTTGTGTCGGTAGTGCTCAATTGTTTGTAGAAATGCTGAGACCGATTCTCAAAGGGTCAGAGGAATTGGACTCCTTCTGTGTGTGTTCACTTGGAGGGCCGAGGAGCTTCCCTGCTGACCTCTGAATTGGAAGTTCTGGTTGCAAGTGCTTGGGAGGGATGGTAGCATGCACAACACTGTTGGCCTGGCCACTGCCTGGCGGATGTTATCTCAGGCATGCAGCTTCCTCCTGGGTTCCTCCTGTCTTTGGCCGATACTTGCTTATCTGGCCTCAACTGTGGAGACCAGAGGGCATGTTGAGTTTCTGACTGAGCTGTTCAGAGAGTCCTGATCTGTCAGCACACTGTCCCAGTGAAAAAAGTCAATGAATCAATAATTTACACTGTTTAGCCCTCTCTCTCTCTTTGAGTATTTGATTTTGACTAACAGGGTTGGTAAAAGCTGACTTGGGATGGGGCCCATACTTCAAGTGAGTGCCTGGTTGGCCCTGTCTGTTGGAGTTTCTGAACACTATGAGGACTGCTATGGGCTCTAGACCCCAGCTGTGGGAGACAAAGGCCCCATGGCTTAGACAAGCAATCCTTGGCTCTGAGGCCACCTATATTGGTGTCAAGGAGACCTCTGTCCCTTTCATGAAATCCTCAGAGGGGAACACATAGGGGTCAAAAAGTCCTACCCAAGTCTCTGGGTAGAAGAGGAGGCTGCTTAAGGTTCCTCTTTTCTTTTCTTTTCTTTCTTTTCTTAACTCAGGCTTGCTAGGCAGGCTCTCTACCACTTTAGCCTCACTTCCAGACCTTTTTTCACTTTCAGTTATTTTTCACATAAGGTTCTTGTGCTATGGCCCAGGGCTGACCTGGACCTCAGTCCTCCTACCTACAGTCTCTCCTGTGTTTGTGATCATAGGCATGAACCACCATGTTTGGCTTATTAGTTGAGATGGGGTCTTGATAACTTGCTTGGGCTGGCCTCGAACCATGATCCTCCACATCTCACCTCCCAAGTACATGGAATTACAGGTGTGAGCCACTGTGCCCAGCCTCCTGCCTAAGGTTGTTTTTTCCTGATCAGACCATGGACAGAGGGCAGAATCCCACTGAAGTCACCCAGAACAGACTTCAGAATTGCTACCTAAGGCCCCAGATACCTGCCTTTCCTTGGGACTGAGGTATAGCTCAGAACAGCTAGTCTGCCAAGGATAGAGGCTATTGATGTCGCCTCAGCCTGTGACACTTCCATGATGGCCTGAGGTCTTAAGCATAGCCTGATGAAAAGCATGCACTAGAAGGGTCAGAGTCACTTACTTTTCCGATCCTTAAGGCTAAATGTCTTGCTCTGGTTTTCTTTCTTTCTTTCTTTCGGTACTGAGATTTGAACTCAGGACCTACATCTTGAGCTACTCCACCAGCCCCACCTCCCTTTCTTTGTGATGGGTTTTTTTAAATAGGGTCTTTTAAACTATCTATCCTTGGTGGGAGGGTGGGGGGAGGCTTCGAAACTGATCTCTGCCTTCTGAGTAACTAGAATTACAGGTGTGAGCCACTGGCGCCCAGCTTCACTCTTTTGTTTTTGTTGTTGTTTGTGGTTCTGGGGTTGGAGCTCAGGGTCTCCAACCTGAGTTGAGTGGGCCAGGCAAGCGCTCTACCACAGTTCACACACCCAGCCCTCTAGCTCCTTTCTGCTTCAGCAAAGGCCTGATGGGATGCTTTGAGCCCAGCTCAGGAATATCCTTGGAAGACAAAGCCCACAATGATTGATGACAGGGTCGCTGTGGCCTCTGAAAGAGTTCAGTAACTGTCACATGCTGTTCTCTGGGGCTTAAGTGGTAGAGCACCTGCCTAGTAAGCTTGAGGCCATAAGTTCAAACCCCAGAACTACCATAAAAAAATGCTGTTCCCATGTCTAGAGTGGTGACATGGAAGGTGGCTTGTAGATTTTGAAAGCAGGGCCTTTCCTGCCTCTTCTTAGGACAATGAGAGATATTTTAACTGAGCCCCTATTGTCTGCCAGGTCTGGCTAAGTTGCATGTCTCTTCTCATAGACTCCACCCAGCCTCTGAATAAAGCCCCATTTTACAGATATGGCAAACTGAGGCTCAAAGAGGCAGTCTTTCTATGGTTCCTAGAGCCCCACAAGAGGGAACTCAAACCTTAGTCTGTTGGACTCACTAACTTTGCCATTAATCTCTCTGCTGGCCTCTCTGCAGGCTCCTGGGACCATGGGCCTTGGGCCCTGAGGAATAGGGCTCCCTGTGGCCATGACGACAGGCGACTGCTGCCACCTCCCAGGCTCCCTGTGTGACTGCTCTGGCAGTCCAGCCTTCTCCAAGGTCGTGGAGGCCACAGGCCTCGGGCCACCTCAGTATGTGGCGCAGGTGACTTCAAGGGATGGCCGGCTCCTCTCAACTGTCATCCGGGCCTTGGACACACCAAGGTGAGTGGTGACCATGCATTTGCCTGGCCTTTACCCCCTTTTCTCTCTGGGCTAAGTGATTTCCTCCCTGTCCCAAGTAAGAAGTCTAGCCATTGAGAGAGGCCAGGTAGGTGAATACACCAGAGAAAAGAGGCCATGTGGAAATGGGGACCCAGGCTAATAGGTCTGATTCCAAGAAAAGCCCAAATTCCATATGATTGTGAAAATCTGAATGTCAAATGCTGGCAGGTCACCCAGACTTTGGAGAAGCAGTATAGGGAGTGGATAGGAGTCAGGCTGTGCACTTTCCGCACCTGGCTCACATCTCACCTCTTTCACACTGAGTGACCTGGCCAAGTTACTTCACCAGACTTCTGAAACAAAAACATCTTCCTGATTAGGTTGTTCTGAGAATATGATGGCTGAGGATATGATGCCATGGTCTCAGAAAGTGGGTTTGCCACCTTATAAGGACTTGATAAACATACAGATTATCCTTGGTTGATAATAAGCCCATTGTAAATTGAAAATACCATAAATTGACATCTGTCAAACAGTATAGGTTAAGCTGGGTGCTGGTGGCTCACACCTGTAATCCTAGGTACACGGGAAGCTGAGAATGATCAGGATTAAGGTTCTAGGCCAGCCCAGGCAAAAAAAGTTCATGAGACACCCCCTCCCCACCCCAGTACCCCGCAAAAAAAAAAAAATGCTGGGCATGATAGTGTATGCTTGTAATTCCAGCAATAGTGGGAAACTTCAAATAGGAGGGTCATGGTGCAGGCAAAGAGCGAGACCCTATCTCCAAAATAAACAGAGAAAAAAGGGATGGAGGCATGACTCAAGCAGTAGAGCACCTGCCTCACAAGTGTGAAGCCCTGAGTTCAAAACCTGCCAAACAAACCAAAACAAACAAAACAAAAAAAAATACAACTAAAAAACTCAGTATAGTTTAGCAACACAATTCACTGTAGAGTCTTTGTTGTTCACTCATGATTTCGGAGTCCATTGGAAGCTACGGGTCACTGCCACTGCTCAGCATGTGAAGAGATGCCCAGGGAAAGATCAAACTTCAAAATTCCAACCAGAATTTCTACCAGAATGTGTTTTGCTTTTGTATCAAAGTCTTGAAAAATTATAAGTCAAACCTTCTTAAATTGGAGACTGTCTCTACTTAAAACTCAAAGGTGAAAGCAAGGTGTGGTGGCTCATAGCCTATAATCCTAGCTACTCAGAAGTGGAGATCAGGAGCCTCTGTTTGAGGCCAACCTGAGGTAGGAGGGTCTGCAAGACTTCATCTCGACTGATAAAAAGCTGGGCATGCTAGGTACCAGTGGCTCACTGCTGTGGTCCCAACTACCCTGGAGGCAGAGATCAGGAGGATTGAGGTTTGAAGCCAGCCTGGACAAATAGCTTGAGAGACCCTATTGAAAAAAAAAAAATCACAAAAAAAGGGCTGGTGGAGTGGCTCAAGGTGTAGCCCTGAGTTCAAACCCCAGTACCAGGAAAAAAAAAAAAAGCTGTGGTGATGTGCTCCTGTCATCCCAGTTAGGAGCAAGAAGTGTAAATAGGGAAGACTGCATTCCAGACTAGCCTAGGCATAAACTCAAGACCCTATGCCAAAAATAACTAAAGAAAAAGGGCTGGTGACATGGCTCAAATGATAGAGTGCCTGCCTGGCAAATGCAAGGCCCTGAGTTCAAACCTAGTACGGTCCCCCCACTCAAAAAAAAAAAGAATGCAAGAAACAAAAGAAAGAAAAAACAACCTCCTTTGGAAGGCAGAAAGGGGTCTGTGTTAGTAGAGCAGGCTGTGGGTGCTTTTATGATTCCACAACCATAAAAGCCCAAACCTTTTCTTGGGCTGGGGCTATAAGAGTGGCAGGGGCAGAGACTCTCAAGGAGCCATGCTTAGGGAAAGTGCTGAGCCAGGGACTTGACCTCACCTTGCCCCACTATCCATTTTCACACCTGGGGAAACCGAGACCCCAAGGGATGTAGACACTGCTAAAGTCCCTGAACAGAGCTGATGTTTGACCCCAGGCAAGCTGTAGCTTACTCTGCCACCCTCAAGACCCTGGTGAGTGGCCAGGTAGGAGCCTGGCTATTCTCTTTCCTGTCCCTGGCCAACTGATGTTGCTTCTCTGGGACTCTTCCTTGTGGCCTGCCCAATCAGAAAGTGGCTGGTGACTAGGCCAGCATGGCACCCTGAGCCCTCAGGGCCCTCCTTGATCTGCCTGCTGGCCTCTTTGCCTGTGGCACAGCTCAGAGTCTGTGTCTTCTCCTCCTCTCCTCTGTGTTTGGATGCAGCTCAACTCAAACCTCTCCAGGCCAGAGGTCTTCTCAGTTCACAACTTCACAGTCAGTGCCACTGATGTCAAAAGGGTGACCTCAAGGTCTATGAGCTTCCTTCCAGCCTCTGGACAGTCTCCCCAGGAGTAAATGGGGCTCCTTATTCATGGTGCTGAGCTTGGCAGAGGCCACACATGGCATGTCATCTTCCCTATCCCCCCACCCTCACCTCTTTGATCTGATAGCAGCAAAAACAGAACTCCAAGATGTCAAACCCAGTGTCTCGGCTGGTTCCACAGCCATAAAAGTCAAAACCTTCCATTTGCCTCTAAGGATTCTCTGATTCCTAGGGGCATATGGCAGAGATCTTGGCAGAGACTGGGCTGGACAGAGAGTTTTGGTATCAGAAACCAGCTGAGGTCAAAGAGAAAGGCCCAGGAAGCATCTCATGGTCCCAGCCAGCCCCCAAAGGCTCAGCGTCTGGGATCCCCTACCCCTCTTGACTTTCTGCCCAGTAACCTGTGAGTGAGCCAAGTCACTTTTTGACGATACTGGGGTTTGAACTCAGGGCCTCACGCTCTCTAGGCAGGTGTTCTACCTTTTGAGCTATTCTGCCAGCTCTGGTGTTTTATTATGTTGGGTATTTTTGAGATAGGGTTTCATGAACTATGTGCTCAGGCTGGCTTCGAACTGTGGTTCTCCTGATCTCTGCCTCCTGAGTAGCTAGGATTGTATTTGGCACCCACAGCCCTTCTGCCTGCCTTCTCCCTGCCACTCTCTTCCCTGGCACTTCAATTTCCTTACTTGCTCATGTGCTCTCTTCTCGCTCCTGGAGTACCAGGCTGTCAACATCTGCCTCACTACACTGTTCCTTCTCATCTATATATTTTGTGTTATTTCTCTGCCAGAATGTCATGAGAAAAGCCTATTTCTCTTGCCCATCATCTGTGGGAGGCAGTGTAGAAGCAGCTGGGGGTGATCAGGCCTGGAGTGAGACTTCTTTGGTTCCCAGCTCTGCTTTACAGACTTTTAGGTGTGTGCATTTGCACAAATGAACAAAACTCTTCCATGCCTCAATTTCAGCATCTGTAAAATGGGAGCCAAAGGCCTGGTGTGGTGGTGCATGGCTGTAATGCCAGCTACTTGGGAGACAATGGGGAGGTTAGATCTTATCTGAAAAACAGGAGGCAGATGTTATCTGAAAACTAAAGGCAAAAGGCTAGGTATGTGGCTCAAGAGGTAGTTCGCTTGCCCAGCAAGAGTTTAAACCCCACTGCCAAAAAAAAAAAAAAAAGGGGAGCCGAATGAGAACTTTCTTTACAGACTCATTGTGATAATGAGGCAAATAAATCCAGATGTTGCACTTAGAATAGTCCTGGCACATAGTGTGCAATAAATATTAAGTTTTGCCTTTTTTTTTCTGTTTCTGTGTATTTGCGCCTCCAAAGTTTTCCAGGGTTTCCCAAAACAAATTCCACACTGATGTGGCTTTTCCTGAGGGTTTCTGGTCAGTTCCATTTCCTGGAGTTGCTTTCTGGAACTGGATTCCTTTCCTGTGAACCTGTGTGTGTGTGTGTGTGTGTGTATGTTTGTGTGTGTGTTTGTGTGTGTGTGTGTGTGTGTGTATGTAAGGGGGATCAGGGTATGGGATTAGAAAAAGTGTCTCACGTCTCTAATCCTAACTACCTTGAAGGCTGAGTTTGAGAGAATCGAAGTTTGAGGCCAGCTCAGGCAAATAGTTCTCGAGACCCCATCTCCAAAATAACCACAGCAAAATGGTGTGGCTCAAGCCGTTGAGCGCCTTCTTGGCAAGCTTGAAGCCCTGAATTCAAACCCCAGTCCCATCAAAAAAAAATAAAAAGAGAGAGAGAGAGAGAAAAGGTCTGGGAATGCCTTTGACACTGTAGGAGGCAGTGTCTGATGGAAAGCAGATGCAAGCAGTCTTCTGGGCTCCTGGGCTGTTGGGCTTTTTAAAAAGTAGCCAGGCCCCACCCGCAGCAGGAAAGCCTGAGAAAGGGTGGAAAACAGTTTCCAGGGGAAACAGCCTTATCTGGGAAAGGCTCTCCTACTCGGCTCCTTTGTGTGTTCCCAACAACTTCTGCTTTCTGGGCAGAAATGTTTGGAAAACAATGAGTCATGTGCTGGATAGACTCTGGGCCCAGAAGGCCACACCTCCTCCCTTCTGAGTTGCCCAGGAAGGACCCAGCATCCCCAGAGACTGGGCTGTGGCTGGAGATTTTCCCAGGCAGCTGTGTGAATGGTTTTTATGTCTGTTTTCCCCTCACAGGGACAGAGGAGCAAGTGAGCAATTTTCCCTGGATGCACAGTTTTCTCAGGCAGTGTGTCCTTCAGGTGTGGCTAGATCTAGGGGTTCTGATCTTTTCTTTTGAGACAACGTCTTCCTGTGTAGTTCAGGCTGGTTTTGAACTTACGTTCCTCCTACCTCAGCCTCTTGAGTGATAAGATTACAAATGTGTGCTACCGTGTCCTGCCTCTTATATGTCCATAAGAATCTGCCTTTCCCCGCTTTCTATGACTCTTGGCTCTGCTCTCCTCTCTGTTGGCATCATTCCATAGGGACCAAGTGGCTGCCAGTGCTCCAGGCTTATGTCAGCCTTGCTGTTTTGGTGTTTGGGAGGGGCTGGATTTCCGATATTGATTCTCAGTGGCTCTGTATCATACAAGGTCTCCTCTGAGTCTGTCCCCGAGACGTGGGGCATGTGTTGTTCTGATTAGTCAGGGCTGGGGTCATCAGAGTATCCTCTGCTCTGCTGTAGTCCTTGAGGGCAGTCATGATGGTACTGCAGGAAAAGGAGAGGACATTGGGCAGGTGCTCACAAGATGACCACCCTGGGCCCAAAATGGTACCACAAGACCTTTGGGAGTGAGCACATTATCCAATCCCTGCCCCTCTCGTAGAACTCTGAGGAGGTTCCCTATAGGAGAGGAGAGGACATTTGGAGCATTAAGAGATGAGTAGGAGTTCGCAAAGGGGTAGTATGGGGAGACAGTGAACTTGTAACCTAGTGAGTAGTAAAGCAGGTGCAGGCAGGAAGCCCAATCATTGTTCATGAATCCTATCTCTATCCAGTGACTGTCCTTTCTGCCGGATCTGTCATGAGGGAGCCAATGGGGAGAGCTTGCTGTCCCCGTGTGGCTGTACCGGCACTCTGGGAGCCGTGCACAAGAGCTGCCTGGAGAAGTGGCTTTCTTCATCCAACACCAGCTACTGTGAGCTGTGCCACACGGAGTTTGCAGTGGAAAAGCGGCCCCGACCTCTCACAGAGGTACTCTTGCACACCTGATGGGTGGGAGTGGGAGGTGTGGGGGGCTGGGGAAGCAGACCTCCCTGCTACCCCCCTCCCCGTGGTAGAATCTGCTGATAAGTGTGGGAACCAGGCCTGAGCTGGGTTGCCAAACCCCGTGCCCTGCCCAGTTCAGAGTCATTGTTTCACTAGCAGCTCTTTTTTCCTTTTTCTTTCTTATTTTGTTTTGGAGACAGGGTCTCACTATGTAACCCAGGCTGGCCTTGAACTCAAGACCCTCCTGCCTCAGTCTCCTGAGTACTGACATTACAAGTGTGCAACACCACACCCAGCTGCAAGTTTGTTTGTTTGTTTGTTTTTGTGTGTGTGTGTGGTGGTACTGGGGTTTGAACTCAGGGCCTTCTGCTTGCTAGGCAGGTGCTCTACCACTTGAGGCACTCCACCAACCCTGTCTTGTGTTGGTTTTTCTGAGATAGGGTCTTGCAAACTATTTGCCTGGGCTGGCTTCAAACTGCAGTCTTCCTGATCTCTGTCTCCTGAGGAGCTAGGATTACAGGGTTATGGCTGGCCCAGTGGCAAGTATTTCTTGAGCATCTCCAGCATGCTCAGGTGCTAAGGACCCAGCCACCAACAAGACACATATGGCTGGTGCTTGTGAAGATTTAAGTGTAATAAACTAACGAACTGACCCTCCAGTGCTGGGCGCAGTAGTGCTATGAGAGAACCATGTTGCGGGGGTGTGGCGTGTATGGGGCAAGAAAGGGCACGGCTGATACCTGAGGGATGAAAAGGAGCCAGCATGCAGACGGCTGGGGAAGGGCAGTCATGACAGATGCACAGCAAGTGTGAAGGCCCTGAGGCTGAGAGGAGTTTGGTGTTCTCGATGAAGCCTGAGTGGTTGAAGTGGGTAAAGTTAAAGCAGGAGGAGAGTAGCCTGAAAGGAGGAAGCATTGGCCACGGCCAGGCACTCAGACTTAAGCCTGAGTGGGATGGATTGTGCCAGGCATTCCTGGTCATGGTGGATGTCTCACTACTGATACTCCCTAGAGCAACTGGGTGGCCACTTGGGTGCTGCCTGCACTTGGTTCCTTTCTGCAGCACCTGAAATGGGCAGTTGAGCACTGTAAGGTGGCCATCACCGGCTGAAGTGTGAAGAGCAAAGTCCAGCCCTGAGACTGGAGAGCTTGGGAGAATGTGGGCCTTGGAAAAGCCCCTAGCCCACTTGGGAGCTGGGCTCCAGGGAGAACAGTGGGAGGGAGGTACAGTCCCCTGCCTGAACCCCCTTCTATGCCTCCTTTGATCCTCATGCCCCAGCCAAATGGGCCTCCTCCCTGTTGTACCTTCTTTAGGCTTCCCACACCTACCCCAGGGCCTTTGCATCTACTGCTACAGCCTGGAATCTTGTCTCTCCCTTTCGTCTGCTTATTCTGTTCTCAGCAAGGCCCCTTCCTGATCATCCTCCCCATTTCACCTCCTCTACTAGCAAGGGCATTCCCTGGAACTGTTGGAGTGATGCCTTTTTTTTCATCTTGCATCCATGAAAGGCAGTGTGAAATAGTGGCCAAGGCTGCTGAGGCTCCAAGCAAGATTTTCTGGGTCTTGTCCTGGCTGGCTTTGTGGACTACAGATTGAATATCCCTTATCCAAAACACTCAGGACTAGAAGTGTTTTTGGATTTTTTTTTTTTTTTTGGTGGACTGGGGTTTGAACTAAGCTCTACTGCTTGAGCCATACCTCTAGTCCATTTTGCTCTGGTTATTTTGGAGATGGAATCTCTAGAGCTATTTTCTCATGCCATCCTCAAACCCTAATCCTCCCAATCTCAGCCTCTCAAGTAACTAGGATTACAGGTGTGAACCACTGGTGCTTCGATTGTTTTGAATTTTTGATTTGGGGAAGATTTTTTTTCCAGTTTTTATTAATTAGAATGTTAAAAGAAGAAATGAAAAAGACAGTTGAGGTGGCAGAGACAGAGAGCTCCCTGAACAAGGACAGAAGGAACAGAGTCAAATAGGGCTCAGGAAGCCAGCTGGGCAGAGGAAGATAGCACACTCTAGGAGTGGGCCTGGACCCAAAGGTGCTCCATGATCTAGGCCAGTGGCTGCTGCTCTGAAGGCTGGTACCTAAGAAGCTTAGACATCAGGTTGTGGGGCCCCACAGCATGGATGGGGCTACCTCATGTCCACTTGCAGGATGTGTTTGGAGGTCTCATTGTCAGAGATGCTCTTGAAGACTGGACTTCCTACCAGAAGCTCATAATACAGCATCCCAACTGAGACCTAGTTTTGGGGATTTTAGAATGTTTACATGGACATTATGAGGTAAGAGGTTATCTTGGGGATAGACCCAAATCTAAACACAAAGTTTGCTTATGCTTCACACACTTCATACACATATCCTGCATATCACAAAGGTAATTTTGTATAATTTGTGTGTGTGTGTGTGTGTGTGTGTGTGTGTGTGTGTGTGTGTGTGTTACTGGAATTGACCCCAGGTTCTCATCTAGGTAAGGGCTCTACTTTTTGAGCCATGCTCTAGCCTTTTTTTTTTTTTATTCATATGTGCATACAATGTTTGGGTCATTTCTCCCCCCTTCCCCCACTCCATCCCTTACCTCTCCGCCCCCTCCCTCAACCCCCACCCCCTCGCTACCTGGCAGAAACTATTTTGCCCTTATCTCTAATTTTGTTGAAGAGAGAGTATAAGCAATAATAGGAAGGACCAAGGG